GGGGGGGGTAAAGTAAGCATTGAACAGATTTAATTTTGCTTCTATTATTCTATAGTTATTAATATGCCTACTCAGAATGTTAAAGTTCTACCTGCTCAGTATAGTTTTGGAGAAATCTGCCGTGAAAATGTTTGAGTTTCAGAACATATCAACCTTTTTCCAATGCAATTATATAAATACTGTATCTTGAAAATGACTTTAGAATTTTCTTCAGGGGGCGGGGCCACCATATCCGCGTTACATGTGTCACTGCAATTTTGTTTTTCATGGATCATCGTGGAAAGGCCTATATAATAATTAGAACTTAGAGAAGTCAGAAGAACCAAGAACTCGTCTAACAGACCTGCAAGGTGGAACCATGTTCCCTCTCCATTCTCCTAAGAGCTCCTTCTACCATTCCAAGCAGAACATCTGCACCGATTTTCTTCCTCTCCTCCTCCCCTCTCACCTCATTTTTGCCATCTACGTGACGAGAGAAGATGCCTTTTCCGTTCTTACCCAAGGGAGGAGGACGAGAGAAATTGATTATATCGGGTTTTGTGGGACTTGGGAAAGCCATGTGGAGTGGTAGGCTAGGTGAGGAGGATCAGAGTAGTTTGTTCTATTGTTTAATTCCGGACAGGCGTGGTGCGTTTAGGTGCAGGGATCGGGTCTTGTGGTGTGTGTTCAGTTGATTAGATGTTTCAAGATCTCATGGTGAGTCTTGAAAAATTTAGAAGACGCTTTTTTCTGACTTGTAAATATGTAAAACACCCAGACACGATGTTTTATATAGTATAGTTTAAGAAAGAGTTTTACGGCATTTGCAACAAATTTTGTCGTGTAACGTATAAGTTTCGAAGATTAGAAGAAGTGCACCGAGAGAGTAGCAACCTACAATTTACTACCACAAAAGAAAAACAGCAGAGATAAGAACGATAGATGTTTGGTAGGAACAAGGAAAGGAAGGAGGTAACACCAACGATATCATCAGAGCGTCTGCCCACCACGCACAGTCACACTGTTGGAGGACACAGGGGTTTTACATTGTACTTTTTTGTTTCTTTATAATAAAAGAGTTTTACAGCCCTTGCAACGCCTCTAATCTTCAGCTTTATTGTGTTGCAAGTGGCGTGAAACTCTTACTAATCCTGACAAAAGTGTGCTAGCCTAGGCCTACTGTGTAGACCTATAGGCCTATACAGTGCACAACACAGCTCCCGTGTGGCGTCGCTCTGTGTCTCCCGGAGGTCCGTACAAACTTGGAAAGAAGTGTCGCGCCAGCGAAATGCCTCCGGCTGGGGAGAACTCAACCGCTCTCCGACCGGGCCACTTTTCCTCCAGCATGAGACTCAGGCCAAGAACCCGCTACAGAAGGAAGCAACTTGGCGTCGCACGCAGAGAAACCGTGAGAGCTGCGCGAACTCGTAGCAAACAGCTCGTTGCCGGAACGCTCGGCCGCCGGAAAGGGAAGGCGCTCCCGCAGCAAAATCCCAAAGCGAAAGTGAAGAAGAGCGCCGCGATGCGCCGTGGGTCCAACTCGAACTCGGGCGATCCAGAACGGCCTCCTGCCCGCCGCCGTAGGGGAGCAGTCGTGAAGAGCGACAGCTCCGATTGGTTGTTTGTGAGAGCAGCCAAGGCGTTGGGCAGGGGCGGGCTGGACATTCTCCGGATCTTCCTGCCGGGGAGTACGGCCGAGGAGAACAACAAGGCGCTGAAGAGAGGTCGCACCAGAGCGGACCCTCGCGCGCCCAACCCCACGGCGGCTCCGAGACTCGCCCGGCGGAACCGGAAACAGGAGCTGGGATACCGGAAGCCTGCTCGAACCAAAGCTTCCGCTGGAACTTGAAGGTTTTGGGAGGAAAGTCGCCAATTTATCTCACGTTGGACAGAGAGGTGATTTTGTCGCCTCTTTTATTTTTTTTATAACCACTGGCCCTTTTTAGGGCCACCCAATATTTTTCTCCCAATAAAAGGGTATTGCTTTATTTATTGTCTTGGTCGCAGTTTTGTCTTTAGTGCTGTCTGTTTAGCGGAAATTAAACAGAGAGTTCTGTTACTCCTAATGCAGCTGGTTGTTCTGTCAACCATAGACTATGGTCTGGGCATCCTCTCCCTGTCCAAGACTCAGATAGACAGGTTGGAGAGAGTACAGAATGCAGCTATGAGGGCTGTCTTGGGTTGCACAAAGGACACCCATGTTGTCTGTATGAGATACATCCTCTACCTGGCCAGCATCAGAGTGAGGCATAAGGTGGCACAGGCAAAGCTGTACTTGAATGTTTTGGGAGACCCGAGGCACCCTTTTCCAGACAACCTAATCAGCATCAAGGGAAACAGGATCAAAGCGGGAAGATCATGGATGGGAGAAACTGAAGACTCATTGAGGGCAGTTTGTGGCATCGATGAAATATTCTGTGGAAAGGAATGGTTTGAACTGAACCCCGATTGCAGAAGCCTGGCCAAGGTTCTCATCACTATGGGTCGTGGAAGACGGGAATGTGCTGCTGTCATTAACGACAATGACATATGACCGTTAATTGAGGAGCATTCCAAGCCAGAGGACCCAGTGATCTACAGGGATGGATCGGTCAGGGAGAGAGAGAGAGAGAGAGAGAGAGAGAGAGAGAGAGAGAGAGAGAGAGAGAAGTGGGTGGGGCTTTCGTAGTGTACACTGGGAACAAACTTCGTTCGTCAAACAGGTTCATCAAAGCATGTCAGGGGCCTTGAAAAGAACAAACTCAAGCATGAAAATGGAGATTGAGGCCGTAATAAGAACGCTTGGCTGGCTTCAAAATACAAGACCAAGAACTACCCATCTCATCATTGTCACAGACTCCCAGAGCATCCTGCGAAGGGTTGAGAAAGGGCTGCTTCGGAGTGAATGGATGAACCCAATACAACACTCATCACTTAGAGCCATCACGTGGATATTCTGTCCCGGGCACTCTGAAGTGAAGTGAAGGGCAATGAGGAGGCTGATAGGCTGGCAGGCAGTGCCGTGGTTGATCTGTCCCCGCAGTGTTATGCAAAATACAATCTCACTTATGCAAACTGATCCTAAAAATGTGAATTTATGCGATTCTGTTAATTTTAACAAAGAATGGTTACGGAAAATAATATGAAAAGAAATTATGCAAAAAATGATCTAATTTTGCTAAATTATGCAGGGTGCCTAAAACCACGGGGACAGTTTAATTTAATTTAGAGTTCAGTTTGAGCGGGCTCAGCAGTGTCCTCCACCCTGTATGGGCACAAATCGGACTATTCTGGAGATAGGCTGCTCTGTCTGGCAGTACCTGCTAAAGTCAGTTTAGTTTTCTTTGAGGTTTTACGGCGCTCGCAACTGCATAAGGTCATGAGCGCCAGAAGATTAGAGGTGTTACAAGAGAGTAACGAACATAAAAAAGAAAAAGGGGAGATAAAGACGATAGATGTTTGATAGGAAAGAAGAAGCAAACCATACCAGAGCACACGCCAACCACCCACTGCTAAAGTCAAGATTCCTCTTTGTTATCCTGGGCTAAAGAAAGTAAATGTACAGTCTACCCAGTCTCTGTGGGATGCATCCTATCGAAGTCTTTTTTTAAAAAATAGTTTTAGTAAGAGTTTAATGGCACTTGCAACACAATAAGGTCATACAAAAATAAGTGCCGAAGATTGGAGGTGTTACAAGAGAGTAACAAACACAAAAAAGAAGGAGGAGAGATCAGGACGATAAATATTTGATGGGAAAAAAGGAGCAAACCACACCAGAGCACCACCCGCCAACCACCCACCCATCTAAGTTTAAACAAAGAGTAGAGGATGAGGTAGAGTAGAGTGTTCTCCCCCACAAGAGAAACCAATCGCCAAAACATTTTGGTGCTCATATGACCTTACGTAGTTGCGAGCGCCGTAAAATTTCTACTAAAACTAAAAACCAAAACTCTGTATCCCTATATAGATCAGGGCCAGCCCGGGCTGACAGGGAAACATCCCAGCAGAAGAAAAAGACTAAAAGATACACGACAAAAATTTTCACCCCACTCGAGAATCAAACTCGGGTCTCCTGCATGTGGCAGCAAAGCCCCTAACCTCTACACCACAGACACCAGTGACAAATTGGTATCGGAAACCTTCTCAACAAGCTGTTTTTGTTTCAGTAAGAGTTTTAGGGCACTTGCAACACAATACGGTCATATAAGTGCCGGAGATTAGATGTGTTACTGTTACAAAAGAGTAACATGCACAAAAAAGAGAAGGAAGCGAGATGAGGACGATAGACAAGATGAGGACGATAGATGTTTGAAAGGAAAGAAGGAGCAAACCACACCAGAGCACCCCCCCCAACCACTCTCTCAACAAGTTGTAAAGGGTACATCTTCGTAAGATCACATCTTTTATAATAGACTATCCTTCTGCATCATCCCTCCCACAAAGGACAGTAAAAGCCAAAGGTGTAAAAAATAGTTGAACACAAGACTCAAAATTCTTATTCCAAATTCAAGAAAGAACAGCACATTTAAATTTATAAAAAAGTAAACTTTTTTCTTTATTAAACAATAGTTCAAAGAAACTATACAGAATTACAAAGCAAAGAATGTATGACAAAAGTCTCATGGACATGAAATATGAAGTTGAAGGCATTCAGTTCTGCGCGACAAATTCAAAGAATATCAGTTGTAAGATTTACCACATTATAAATCTTTGAGCTAGATAATCACTTTGAGAGGTACACGTGTACTTCATCTAAAATGCACTAAATATGTTTTGAATATCTCTACAGAGCAGATATTACAAGACAGACAAAAAGCCTTCCCCCCCCCCCACTTCTTTCCTGCTTCAACTTGCACACTTACCCAAATCAAAATCTATCTAGAAAAACAAATGATTACACCTGTACACACAACTTTTCATGAGGAAATTGGACGAGCTTTACCAAAAGCCTTCAGGGTGGACGAGCTTTACCAAAAGCCTTCAGGGTGGACGAGCTTTACCAAAAGCCTTCAGGGTGGACGAGCTTTACCAAAAGCCTTCAGGGTGGACGAGCTTTACCAAAAGCCTTCAGGGTGGACGAGCTTTACCAAAAGCCTTCAGGGTACACAAAACATTCACACATGTATCTATGCCTTTCAGAACATTTGAAGTAAAGCGATGTTCCAGTAGCTTCAACTACATGACATCAATTTGTCGGGACAAGCACAAAGTTTTTACAGATCCATTCCAATGTTGTGACCATTTGAGTTTGAGTCTTCTCACTGGATCATGACAAACTCTCAAAGTGACAGCAACAGCAAACTGCAAAGAGTCCTTTCTTTCTCTGCATAGTCACACACACAAATTTCTCAATAGTTCGTCCACACAATTGTGCAAACATTTGAAGCAAGAATTCTCAGCAACCACTTGTTCGACTTTCACCACATTTTTGAGAGATACTTTTACCCACTTTTTTTTTGTGGTGCCCAGTGAAGAGATCACTGTGATTAAGTGCAGAGACTGCTATACTGTTCAAAGCCTAAAGTCCTGACATCTATTGCAATAGTCTGCCCCATGGTTTTATGCACCCTGCATAATTTAGCCAAATTTCATCTTTTTTTTGTGTGCATAATTTCTGATTATTTTCTTTTATCATTCTATGTTAAAATTAACAGAACTGCATAATTTCACATTTTTGGGATCGGATTGCAAAATTTCATAACTTTTTTGGGCATAAAACCACGGGGACAGAATAGTGTTTATACATTTATGAGCAGACTATAGGTACATCAAAAGAAAGTGAAGCAATAAACATAAAGAAAGAGGTGGTGATGACAGAACAGATAAAAATGTGTCATTCAGATCTGTAAACATGCCAATTGTTATTGCATACAGAAAGAAGTTAAAAAGTTGAGGTACAGCATTCTCACTAGCCAGCAGTCAGCAGCTCTCTGCACTGCCTCAAGAAGAGACATGCCATTCAGTTCACACATTCTTTGACACGAAAATAATTCTGTAAAGGAATAAGAAGGGAAAAAAAGTGCAATCTGCAAGATATGACTGAAAACTCACAGGTTTTGTTAGATATAATTAACTTAAAAATGAAAAGGAAAAAAAAAAGAAAGAAATTAAAATTTTAAAATGTGTTAGTATTGAAAATTCTGGGCTGATGAGAGCTATTTCCAGGACAGAGTAAAAAAGGACCCAACATTGCAGGTTACATGATACAAAATCACACTTCTTTATTATTTATTTTAAAAAATCAAGAATTTCAAATACTGTGAGGTAAAGCAGATCACTGGTTTATTTTGGGTTTTTTTTTTAAACAAACGTTATTTCTTACCTCAAAAATAAGGTTAAAAAATGGAGAGAGTTGAGAGTGCCTCCTCCTTCACTGGCCAATAGTATACAGTATAGCTAGACAGATTTCAGTGAGATGACGGGGGACGTGTTACGCTCAGGGCTATTTAAACACAAACACAAACATTCCTGCACAAAACGGGCTGGACTTCAACAAGAGTTGACCTTTTTTTGGGGGGGGGGTAGCCTGTTCGCATGCTAGCTAGTTTTTGGAGAAACAAACAAAAGCATCTCAGTGGAAATTTTGCATAAAGGGTAACATGGCAATCATAAGAAGTTGGATGTTCAAAACTGGGAATGTTGATCAATCGTAATAAGATGGTTCTCCCTACTTCATCCTCAATGTTGTTGCAAGCTCTGCCAGAAAAACGCCCCCAAATAATCTGAAAAGTAGAAAATTAATAATTAATATACTGACACACCTACAGCTCCCATTCTTATCTAAGCACACACAGGGCTTGGATGGGTTCAAAAGCTTGCTTAGAACATGTCACTATAATATGCTTAAACTCTGCACACTTATGTCTACAAAGAATGATGTCATTATTACTTCCTTTAGTTTAGACTTTTTTTCCTTGACTCCCAAAAACCTGGGCATGCACTGGTCACCACAGCAATGAAGAAGACAATTTCTAGCTCAAATATAGATCTAGGGAAGGGGGGTTTGGAAGGGGGTTGGTTGGAAATACTGTCACCAGAGGCTTGAAGGAGACATAAAAATCTTTGGAGGGGGGCGGGGTATATAGTCCATGTGCGACAATAGCAGCCAATGCCGCTTATCAAAATAGCAGTTCGACTTAGTTTTAGTTAATGTTTTACAGCACTTGTAACAAAAATAGTTCATGTAAGTGCCAAAGATTAAAGGTGTTACTAGAAATTAACATACCAAGAATAAAAGGGGAGAGATTTACATAAGGAAGGCAACCATTTCGACATAAGTCTGACTAAGGCAATTTGGTGACAAGTCTTGTATACAGGGGTCTGTATAGCCAAATATTTGTGATAACGAGCGGAGATTCAGACCGTTATTACCTCTCACTCTGTTCTACTTGTCCTCGTCTGAGCCTTACAAAAATGAAGCCAGCATTTAGAAAAAATTCGTCAAAACCCAATGAATATGCTTTTAAAAATACAACTACTTACCCAAAGTTAACGCCAAAATTCCAAACACTAAATTTCAAAACAGGAAAAAAAAAAAAAGATTAAAAAACAACAACCCTTACCTAGTTTGAATCTATCGTGGCATAGGCATCAAGACAGTAGACGGGCTTGGTGCCGTAGAATAAGTGGATCTGAGCGTGGTAGTCGCCAGATGGCACCTGATTGGTGTCCACTTGAAACGTGGTGGTCGGGAGAGAGTAAGAGCCCTGTAAGACACAAAATGACACACACATGAAGCACGAGTTAATATTGAGAGTTCTGATCGCAAAATATTTTACTAGAGAATTTTTAAAAAGCACTAATTTTTAATGTCCACGAACAAACAATCCACGTGTTGTATCGGTTTATTGGTGGGGTGGGCAGAGTTTTTTTTACTGGTGGTATGTCGCAACATTTCATTATTTACTGCTCACTTACGCAGTCACTGTTCGGTTGTGATCATGCCATAAATGAGAAAGCAAGCTGAGCTGGTGATGCTGACATCAGCCGCATGTGCAGGTGACCTCATTGGCTTGTTCATGATGTCACAGTGTCACATGGTGCGAGGGGCTGACACTACAACACAGCCAGCTCCCTCATTATTACGCTTACCTTAACAATTTTGTACAACCATTCCTAGAGTCAGGAGGCTTGTATCATAATAATAATAATAATAATAGATAGCATTTATATAGCGCATATCCCCGCTCAGCAGCAGGCTCTATGCGCTTTACACTATATTATTACCCCAGCAGACCATAGGACACTCCGAAACATTCTCAGTTTCCCGGGAAGCATACAGTGCAAGCAGCCGATTAAGCGCTCAAACACTAACAAACTGACAAGATCTTTCGCTGTCTATAGCCGGGTACCCATTCCCACCTGGGTGAAGTGAGGAAAATTCGTGTAAAGTGCCTTTCCCAAGGACACAACGTCGGGACCTTGACGGGATTCGAACCCACGACCTTACGGTTGCGAGTCCGAGAGCCTAACCACTAGGCCACCGACGCCACATTGAATCATTTAACCCGGTGCCCTTAAAACAGTCCGCTTTTTTTATAAAGTGCATCCTCTGTTGATAACAAATCAGTACCACGTGCTTACAACACCACATCACTGGCAAGGGTCTGCTAATCTCTTCTATGATCACAAATACCATTCTGGTGATATGGCATGCATGACAGTAAGAAATTAATAGAATAGAGGTATTTACATATTTCCTTACAGTGTTATTTGGCAATGAAAACTAACCAAGAACACCAAACTGTAACAGCAAATATGCAACAACAAAATCACTTCAAATTGGGCCTGGTTTTGGTATAGCGTAGATGATATGGCTCTAAAATTCCCCACTGCCAACAGTTGGCAGCAAGCCTGCAATCAAAGCTAATCCCTTAATTTTTTTTCCAACACTCATCTCAGGACCGATATGATTATGAGTCGATAAACCTCACCTTGACAAATGAGCTAATGTGAAACCACTCACCTTGGTAAATGAGCTTATGTGAAACCACTCACCTTGGTAAATGAGCTTATGTGAAACAGCTCATCCTTGGTAAATGAGTTTATGTGAAACAGCTCATCCTTGGTAAACGAGCTTCTATGAAACCACTCACCTTGGTAAATGAGCTTATGTGAAACAGCTCATCCTTGATAAACGAGTTTATGTGAAACCACTCCCTTGGTAAATGAGCTTATGTGAAACCACTCCCTTGGTAAATGAGTTTATGTGAAATCACTCACTTTGGTAAATGAGCTGATGTGAAAGCACTCACCTTGGTAAATGAGTTTATGTGAAATCACTCACCTTGGTAAATGAGCTGATATGAAACAGCTCATCCTAGGTAAATGAGCTTCTATGAAACCACTCACCTTGGTAAATGAGCTAATGTGAAACCACTCCCTTGGCAAATGAGTTTATGTGAAATCACTCACTTTGGTAAATGAGCTGATGTGAAAGCACTCACCTTGGTAAATGAGCTGATGTGAAACAGCTCATCCTAGGTAAATGAGCTTCTATGAAACCACTCACCTTGGTAAATGAGCTAATGTGAAACCACTCACCTTGGTAAATGAGCTAATGTGAAACCACTCACCTTGGTAAATGAGCTAAAGTGAAACCACTCACCTTGGTAAATGAGCTGATGTGAAACCACTCACCTTGGTAAATGAGCTGATGTGAAACCACTCACCTTGGTAAACGGGCACTTGCACGGGATATTGTTCTTAACAAACTCTGGTGGACAGGTGGCGCCCATCAAGGTCTCACAGAGGTCGTCGTACGTGCAAGAACCGAGGTTTTCGATGCACGGGATGGTGATCCAAATGAAGGCTTCGTGTTTTTTCAGTTCCACTTGCATCTAGAGATTTAAGAGAGAGGATTGCTGTATAATATGCAATAATATTGGGACAGACTAGAGAAATATATAAGCCTGCCTCACTTGAAACAACAGATTGAACATGAATTATAAACCGTAATTTTATCATTATGCACACCAACACAAAGTTATCCTCAAGCAAAGGGGTGTGTGGTACTTTTACTAAGCGATCCCACTTTTTGCTCAACTCATTTGCAGATAGCAACAGGTGCTGATGCACTTATAATTCAAACAAATCATAGGAAAATCATAAAGACATGTATTTGGAGGGTGTTTTTTATTACGTTTTTTTTTAAATATGCCCCCATTTACACAATTTAGATCATTTGATAGGCTGGCTTCAACCCTGCCTGTCAGGACCAACCCGAGCTGAGGGGAATACGATGTCCCAGCAGAAAGACAGAGATACCCAATAAAAATTCTCCCCACACAAGGAGTCGAACTCAGGTCTTCTGCGTGCGATAGAAAAGCATGTAACTGCTACACCACAGATGCCAGTTATCAAGACAGAGATTAGAAAGATTAAACTTAGTGGAAAGCCAAAGAACAGATCAGACAGATAAATAAACAAAAACGAAAAGGGAAAAAAATTGTCTTATTATATATATAATCCAACAATTTCAAAAAGTCGACAAAATTTTTTTCTATCCAAATTTGTCAGAAACTCAATTAACATCAAACCTGCCTATCATATTTTAAAAATTTGAAAACTCTTGGGGGAAAATGAACAGCCATAAAAGTTTGAATTAGGTATACAGTCCAGCCTGCACAAATACCATTCCGGTGATATGGCATGCATGACAGTAAAAAATTAACAGAATAGAGGTATTTAAATATTTCTTTACAGTAACATCAAATATGCAACAACAACAAAATCATTTCAAATTGGGCCTGGTGTTGGTGTGGTGTAGGAGATACAAAACAAAATCAGCAGGATGCAGAAATCTCTGCGTTATGAACATATTTTATGATCTCTAAGAAAAATTCTGAACCTGAAAATTAGTTCAATATGCACGGGTTTGCTACGTTATTGCTAAATTGTAGGTAAATATAAGGAAAACGGGAATGTGAAAAGAAGGGTTTGCTACATCAAAGCTAAATTGTAGGTAAATATTGAAAAGAAAGAAAACGGGAATGTGAAAAGAAGGGTTTGCTATTCCCACACCTTAAGAGGAGCGTCCACAGTCTCGTTGATGGTGGCCGAGAACTTGACGCTGATTCCTCCGGGGAGAACCACGGGGTCAGGAGTCACCGTCAGCCCCTGGATCTTCACGATCTCAGCGCTGGTGCCGCAGTCCTGCCACTTGAAGCTCTTTAGGTTTGACTTGCCCTTCGTCACGCCCTGGAAGAGAACAAACACACATTGAATCAGTCAGTTCGTTTTGAAAGTAGCAAGACGACAAAGGGAAAACGGTGAGATAACACTGACAGTTTAAATTAAGAAACCTTGTTCAGACCTGAAAGTGCCTCATTACAACTTATCAGCAACCTCTAAAAAAGTTTGGGTCTTTTGTTCTGTTTTTGCTTTGGGTTGTTGTTGTTTTGTTGGGGGGGGGGGACAGAGCCTTCAAAAACTTACATGCAGTGCCCCCCCCCCCAAACACACACACAAATTCCCACCAGTGGGAATAAGGAAGACCATACCCTCTCCATCCTCTTGTTCTTCTATACAAAAGGTATTATTCCCCGACACCTCCCCTCTCAATTCCTTTACCATTAGCACACTCCTGTTTATCTAAGCCACATCAGGGAAAAAAGCCACGTCGGCACAAGACGTTAGTTTATCGTCATCATCAAACCCAAACAACAACAAAGATAAAATCCTCATCACAGCGATCAAACAGAAGATCACCTGTGAAAATCTGGGGGAGTGGTTTGCTTTGAGGTAGCGGAAAAGAGCGTGATCTTTCCAGGCAAAGCTGCCCTGGCCGTCTTCAACGACCTCGATCTCTTCCTTCACCACCATCTGCCGGACAAACTGCCGCCGGATGTTGAGTGCATGAGCACAGCAGGTAGCCATCAGCACCAGGGCAAGGACTGTAGACTGCATGATCAAATAGGAGTGGGGATCTCTTCTTCAGCTGAAAAAAAAGAAAAACACATTATACAGTACAAACACGGATGGCTCGAATTCATCAGGACCGGCTTTGGTAGTTCGAGGGATATCTGACAAAGATAAAGAAGAAGAAAAAAAAAATCCGGGTCAGCAGGCACAGGGATTTCGAGTTTTCTGTGTTCGACCTATTTGTGTTACACTGTATATATTTAAGACATCTTCAACTGTAATGCTGTACCGCCACTACTTCTATGCCAAGATTTTTATCACTTTATTACTAAACCTATCACAATACTGTTGATGACAGGGTCATTACTACCTAAAAAGCAGGCCAAACTCGCTGGAAGATGGTGCAAAGGTAAGACAGATCTAGATGAATAACCCTTTTTTGTAGAGGTTTTACGGCGCTCCCAACTTCATAAGGTCATATATGAGCGCCAGAAGATTAGAGGTGTTACAAGAGAGTAACAAACATAAAAAAGAAGAAGGGGAGATAAGGATGATAGATGTTTGATAGGAAAGAAGAAGTAAACCACACCAGAGCACCCGCCAAAAACCCACCCATGAATAACCTAATAGCACGCAATAATAATAATAATGTATTCACTCCCTGAAGCATGGTCTGTTGCTCAGAGTTACTTGCAGGCAAGTCAAAACAACTACAGAATATTCATGAAGAGGAAACTATGACATTTACATGAAAAATCAGCAGTAAATACAGAAATAACCCACAGTTGATGCATACCACTGTTGAGACCAAACATTGTAGCTGAACTTGAGACTTGGCAATTCTGAACAGCCCGGTTACCGTGTACGTGACACTGAGACTACGTGCCCAATCGCCGGTTACCGTGTACGTAGATACTGAAGCTAGGTGCCCGGTTAACGTGTACGTAGACACTCCAATCCTACAAAGACCCTCATGATGACTCTCAAGCAAAATAAGTCATGTGACAAGCCTAAAGTCCTCCCGCATGAAAGGCACACTATTATACAAAGTAAAGTGAAAAGAACACTACTCTTTGTTAAGGATGAAAAATGAATCTCTGTTTCAGTAGAGTATAGAATGATCTTGGATGTAAGCAGCTCAATAGAACTTCATAAATGTAGTGTGCTGCCACTGAATGCAGCGTGATGAAACTGAACAAGTTTTTTGCTTTTCCTAAAAAATTTACTTCACTGGGCTCAGCTGGTCATACATATCACAAGGGCAACGATAATGTTATGAAGAGTTTTATCCCTTTACAAATCAGAGGATCATGTGATACAGACTGACCAACTCAAATGTCACCCCTTAAAAAAAAGAGAGTGTATACAGACCCGGTAACCGGGAACAAAGTCACAAAGTATACAGACCCGGAAGGGGACTCTTTTGTGATTTCGGAAAGTTTCAGCGCCCAGACCCGGTAGTGTGTGTGCGTGTGCGTGTGCGTGTGTGTGTGTGTGAGTGAGAGAG